TGTTAGTAAAAAATTTAAAAATTCTTTTTTAAGGTAATATTTAAACATTTAAGCAAGTGTAATTTTAAGCAAGTCACCTTTCAAAATTAATTTTTTATAAATTTAAAATTTTGTTAGTAAAAAATTTAAAAATTATTTTTTAAGGTAATATTTAAACATTTAAGCAAGTGTAATTTTAAGCAAGTCACCTTTCAAAATTAATTTTTGAATTTTTATTTAATAAAATTTTAAATTTATTAAAAAGATTTACTTTTAAACAAATACTTTTTAATCTCCGCTAAACAACCCTATGTGGGCAGATTTGGCTTAGAATATTTGTAGGGCATTTCAACAAACAGTTGATGGGCACCAAAATAAGGTAATAGGCAGAAGCTTCTAAACTATCCCATATGGTATTGGTAATTAGTAGAATCCAATAAAGCAAACGCAAGATTAAAGAATCAGTAGATGTATAATGCGAAGAGACTAGAGATAAGTCCATAGAAGTAAAGTAAAATCAGAACCATGTCTGTAGGAACAGTTAATCGGAGCCAAAAGAAATATCAGAGCTACCCGTGATCAACAAAATAATATATCCAGAGGTCCAACATTTTTGGAGTCGTTCGTTCACAGTCACATGGTAGAACAGATTGACATCGATTCATGATCTTGTATCGAAGAAGAATGCTTTTCTGAAACTGACTGCTCAGAGCTAGTGGCCTGTATGAATAGTAGTCTATGGTGGGAACAATGGAATTGACAGACTAACCTTCAAATATGGGTGTGGTCTCAACAACACATGAAGTTTAGATTCTTTCCAAGTATCGTCAGGAATTGGAGTAATTGGTTGATATAGTAGAAATACAAATTGACGGAGATCGACCAATGACAGTGGATTGGAGAAGTAAATTCTAAATTCTGAAGCTGTAAATAACAAACACCATTCACGCCACTTCTCCAAGAGTATATAATTAACTTGGATTGATTTTTCACTCCCTCTATCCCTAATTATCATCTTATTAATAATTAATTTATTGAGATTTGTGGTACCTCTAATTATTCTTAATATGCTAATACTTCATCCAACTTTTTGGAAATACATCTTTTACATTTTAACAAGCGGAAGAAAGAAACTCGACGATTTTTCCTTTTTTTTTTTTTGAAATGGGATATAACTTGAAAATATAATTCAAGCACATGTCCCCTACGTAACCAATCAACATTTTAAATAAATCAATAATTTTATCAAATTAATCACAATTATAAAATAATTAACATTTAAAATCGATTTTAACTCAATACGTAATTCCAGTATCTAAAAGGTTTAAAGGGAAAATAATAATATCCTATAATATTCCATAGGGTAAACATAAAAAATTATGTGATTTATTTAATTTTTAAGTTAATAATTACCATTCGGTAACTTTATGTAAGAATTAATATTTTATTATCTAAAAAATGTGCCCGTAATCACTTTATCTTGCATTCTTTAAAAAAATACCTTAAATAATAACTAGATAAACGAGAAAGTTTACCATACAACAGGGATATCACGTGAACCGGTATCCCCGTCCAATGAGAAAGTGACAAGCCACTAAATTAGAACACCTCATCGTCTAATTAAAGACTTGTTACAGCCACGTCACTACAACCTATCATTTAACGGAAAATCGTGTAACGGAGAAGTTTTATGGCCCATCTTCTTTCTTCTCCTGCACTTCTATTTCATCTCTTTTTCTCCCCCCAGTTCTATCCTATCCTCCCAAATCTTTTATTTTCCATTGATGATGGCCACAACCTCTGTAAGATCTGGATTTTGTCCTTCTTTAAATTTGGGAACACTAGGAATAGAGTAATCTTGGGATTTTTGAAAGTTAGGGAAATAAAGCAATAAACAATGTATTAATTTTTCAGATCTTGGCCACAAGATTCATAAGATCAAGCTGTTTTGTGACAGGATTAATTATGAGGAAAAACCATGCTCAGATTTATCTAAATCATATTGATTCAAAGCTCCAATCGAAGGAAAGATATGGGAGCCAAACGAGAAAGTAGGGCCTGCATTGCTTTGTTTCCGAATCCCAAAATATCTCCTTTTAACTTTTAACAGTTGCAGCAAAGGTAATGGCCGAAGACAAGAAGTAAGGGGACTTTGAGTCCAATATATGGCACAGAGAAGTATACCCAATCAAATAGTTGAACTGTTGAAGCGAAAAAAAATGGTGTTTTAGTAAGAGCAAAAGCCAAATCTGAACACCCATAATTCTTCGTGCCTGGAAATCAAAGAGGACCAAATCAATCGAATGTGGAGCTTCTGCATGTGAGCAATTTCCATTCCAAAGAGATAGGGATCTAGTAATTCCTAGAAGAAAAGAGAGAGTAAGGGATGAGAAAAAGGGCGGAAAGAGGAAACACCAGACCGCGGAAACTTTCCGTTTCATATGTTTTCCGTTAACGTTAAATTGCGCTGACGTGTTTTTCATGAAGTGATAAACTGTGTTATTTAAATGAGTTGTTACTTTCTCATTGGACCGGGATGCCAACGATGTGGCATCCCCGTTGCATAGAAGACTTTCTCAGCCAAGAGAATAACCATAGATGAAAACTAGAGCTATTAAGGAGTAAAGAATGATAAATTACGAGAGAAGAGTTTAGATATCAAAATTAATTTTTTTTTATAATTGGAGTTTTATTGTTTTTTCAATAATTTTAGAAATTTCATTTTAATAATTTCAAAGGTCAAAATTCAATTATGCATGGGCATGTTACTTAATTTTACATAATAATTATTATATTTTAGACACATCTCAAATAATTTATGTAACAAATATATAATTTTTTTTTTTCAAAAGTTTAGAGCATTATCTACATCTTTAAAAAGTTTAAGCATTTATTTAACAATTTTTCAAAAGGTCAGCTCCCCCCAGCCCCC